CCTGCTGAATTTCTTGGATCCATCTTTGCATTTTATTATTTCCGAAGATTTGTAGCATTTCTCATTTTGGGGGGAGATTCCGAGAAATTGATTCGTGGTGGGAGAAGAAGATGCTGATCCAACAATTGATATTGATATTGATTCGAGGGAAAGTGAGAGGACACACAGAACGCACAGCGTCGCTACAATGAAGCTCGACTTCACTTTCATCTTCATTTTCTTCCTTAGTCCTCAGACGGACAAGACAACCACAGAGAAGAACGAGAGAAAGCGAGAGGTCTTTTCGCTCTCAATTGTCGATTTGTTCTGGGTGATCAGCCCAACACAGGCTCGTTTGCCGGAAAGAAAATGAAAATGAGAGAGATAGAGAAAAGGGATTAACGAGATGGATATCACCGTCGAGATCCACCTCTCGAGCTCGATCTTGCACATGCTCGACGCTTTGACGAAGATCGCGAATCTGTAGAAGTAAAAGTGAGCAAGAAAGCAAGAAGAGCAGAATGGTGAAGCTGGTCAACTTGGCCATGGATCCAACGACTGAGAAGCACTGGGGCTCCATTTTCTAATGCAGATTTAGTTTGTAACAGTGACGTTTTTGTTCTGATTTAACTCTCAAGATCGATTAAGCTTTGTGCCAGGTTAGGCCTTTGTAGACATTGGCAGAGAAGGTGGCGGCGAGGTATAAGGTGGTGACGCCGAGCCCCACCATGAACGCCTTGAATGCCTAATCCCCTGCCTTGCTCACTATCCCTATCTCTCTCATTCTGTGAGTTTTTGGTATCGTCTGTGCATGAGTTCTGTGTGGGATTAAGAGGACTGGGCCTAAGAAAGATCGTAGCCGTTGGAGAAGAATTTGCCATATGCAGTGGTGATTAGGGCTGAGGGAGATGATGACGTGGCGATGATGGTGACAGCGGCTCGGACTTGGTTGAGAGCGGATCGGATTGATTCGATGAGAGTGGGGTTGAGCCTGTGCTCACCTGGGCCTGTTAGCGTTAGGATGAAGATGTTGCCTTTCCTCTCTAATGTACCCATTTCTCTCTGTAGAAAATCTCCCTTCTTTCTCTCTCTCTCCCTGTTAGATTGAATGGGTGTGTCTCTGAGTGTGGGTGTTGGGTTGTTTGGTTCTTGGGTTTTTGCAGATTCACGGCAGTGAGATGAAAAAATGAAAGAGAACCGACATAGCTTTTGGTGTCGATTCCCACAGACGGCGCCAAATGTTGATGCACAAAACCGGAGGGGTCTTAGAACAACATAAATCCGACCATGAATCTGCAAGAAAGTAAAGAACACAAGATGTATCATGGTTCACCCCAATGTTTGGGCTATGTCCACACTAATGTTGATTGTATTTCTCTGTATGGATGTATGGATTACAACTGTGAGGGGGAGTCCCCCAAAGAAAGAAAGAGTTTGAGAAAGTTTCTCTATTTATGAGCCTTGTGGCTTTTGTATGTGAGGATGAGACCTAGCAATTGTAAGGGTGAGGAAGTCCTTTTATAGACTAAGGGCTCCTCCCCTTTTACATAAATCATGGGCTTAATGTCTGGAAGACCAAGTAACGAGGCCCAATATAATATGGTACCAACAGGGCGAAGACGAAATTTGGTGCACCGCTCTTTGAATTCCTTCTCGGCCACTTCACACTCTATCTTTGAAGAGTCGGAGAAGCGTTATCGGCTCAAAACAGAGAGAGATAAGTAAGGTATGGCATAGGGCATCCTTGAAGATAGCCTAGTTGACGACCTAGAAAGTTGGGGTGATAGACTTCCCAGCTTCTTTGTCAAGCCTCGCAACCATAGGGCAGGTCGCGAGTAATGATGAATGACCCCCAAGAATTTCGGAGATTAGCTTCCGCGGCCTCTTCCCATGCCGATGTTGGAAGGATGATGGAAGAAGGGTACGTTCAGCCAGGAATTCATCGTCCGATAGGTCTTTTAGGCTAAAGAAATATTTGAAGATCTCTTTGACTGAGTGGGAAGGAATAGGTCGTGAAGCCAACTCAAGACCTATGGCTTCGGAAGAGTTGAAACTTGCGAGGTTTGGCCGCAGCTTCGAGAAATAGACTTGCAACCAGAGCTAAAAAACCTTGAGTGGGCCGTTTTGGTGGGGGTCGATTCTCCCCACTGTAGTCTCACCCAAACACCTAGTAAAGTTGGTAAGAATGGCCAGACTAAGGGCCAGGACATGACCGCTGGCCAAGGTTTCGGTGATAAGCATATTCTTGGCTAGGCATTTATTCGAATTGGAACAAAATATGTATTTGTTGTACCTGTAGAATAAGAAGGCCCTGTGTTCACCCTTCTTAATATCTTCCTCTTCCGAGCCGGCAAAGTGAATGATCATGGTGTTGTAGTTAAAGAAGTTTTTGTGTAGTTTCAACGCATTTCCTTCGGCGGCTTTTGGTTTCCCTTTGTCAGGGCTTCGACGACACGATCCTCGAAAATGGTCTTCATATTCAAGTCGAATTGATACCCGGAGAAAGAATTGTAGATTGGGAGGCTAGTAGGAGAGGTGTCAAGAATGACTGATGTCCATCATTGTTAGGCCAAGAGGGCTGAGGGGAAGGACCATTGTATTGGTGGCTGAGCACTAGAGGCTCAGAACAGCCATCATGAGCTCTCGATCCATGCTCATCTCGATGATCGAGAGTTCGATGGCATCAAAAATGCTGAGAGCCTTCCATTTGTCATCAAAATGTGGGTCAATCCGAGTGACCCAAGCAGTCCAGGTCGCAGTGGTCGAGGGCCAAACACCTTGGGGTTTGGCCAATTCCCGTTTCGACGAATCATACCCTTGGAATAAGGGTTTTAGGCAATGGTCCTTAATCATTTCGATCATCACTTATGGAACATTGGTTTTTAACAATGGGTCGAGGGTTTGGTGGGAAAAGTTTGGCTCATCCTTAAATCGAATGGTTTTGATAATGTTTCAATCAGTGATATTTTGACATTTATTATATTCCTCGACCAACTTGGTGATGAAAGTATTGGCGGCCATTGAAGAAGCTGAAGGTTTTCTGGGTTTCGAAGTGAGGTTGGTTTTCTGGGTTTGAGAGCAAGTGGCAATGAGATTTGAAAGTTTTGAAAGCATAAAAGTCTGAATGAAGGAAGTTGGGTATTTATAGGCATTTGGGGAAGAAGGCAAATGGTTTTTATGTTTAAAGAATACGGGGTAGTTTCGACCATATTGATTTGTAATCATGATGAATATTCAGTGAATCCAGGTGAAAAGGTCGAATAACTCACAGATTAAGGTTGCATGATGGCGTGTGATTGCGAATTTAAGAAGGAATGGACGTTTTAGTCTTCGCATGTCTCGAAAAGACTGAAAAACTCGCAGGTTAAGGCTGCATGATGACATATGACAACGAGTTTAAAATTGAGGGGACATTTTAGTGTCAATGTCATCATTAAAAGACAAATATACCAAGAAAATGCCACGTGGCAAAAAGGTCAGACATCGTTAAAATCGTATAATCGTACTCCATAAATGCATCTAAGTGGTTGTTTAAATTCGAGGTTTTTTCGGTGTCCTTTAGTAATATGTTAAGGGGGAGATTTCACTTCTTCAAGGACAGAGTTTGCCCAAGATTTGCAGGCCGAAGACCTCAAAATGAGGGGGCAATGTTTAAGCCAAAAATAAGATTATTGGGCCGAGCCTAGGTTTGTTCTCGGCCCGGTACTCTTTCGGAAGTATTGTGGGCCGTCCAGCCGCCACAGGCTGACCAATCAGGTTAGTCGAGCCCTATTGTGAGAAGGATTGATTTGGATAAGGGCAAAGAGGTCGAATCCTGGTACAACGAAGGGTCTCAAAGCTGAAGGCGCTGAGAATTAGGAAATGAATCTGGTTCATTATTGAACTTAGTTCAAAAACCTATTGGAACTAGGATTGGCCGAACATAATTAGATTGGGATGAGGAGTTCTAGTTTGAGTACATCTCTGGTTCGGCCAGGAGTAGGTTCATTGCTATAAATAGAGAAGGGAGTGCATCATTCAAGCGCTCTCCAATTCAACACACAAACAGCCCTGCACAAACTTTTGCTCTACGCGAAACCTCTCAACAACCTTGAGATTTTTATTTTCTTTTTCTCGCCAACACATCTTCAGTTTGGATAAACAGCACTGTGAAGGCAACCAATGGCATATTCAGTTTGGATAAACAACACTGTAGAATCAGCCGATCGCGGAGCACCTTCAGTTTGGATAAACAACACTACGTTAAGGCCAACTAGTTATCTATCCAAGTCTTGGTCAAGAAGTATTTTCGAGTCCTTATTGGCAGAGGTCATCTCACTAGCCTTCTCGGCGAAGTGAGGTGTTACAGATTACTGGGCTCGGCACATTGAACGCCGGGTTGTTTTATGATTGGATATTCACAAGTAAATTTTAGAGTTCGGCATTCTGACGGCCGAACCACATTCACCATCAAGACTTACATCTCTTTTGAGTACTTGTGTCCATATAGTTTGGTGCCAGTTCGGCGTGCTTATACTCTTACGAATATAATCACCATGACCGAACACGGCGCTGACGATCAGTGAACTTCGCAAGACTAGCAGCCTTGTCTTCAGGCTTTAGAACTCGAAGGCCGAGACGTGTTCTTTCCTCGGCGCTCTCAACGCAACATCAACACATTTTACTCCCCGGTCGAGCTCGACCAACGAGTTGGCACGCCCTGCACACAACCGAATGACGTAGTTAGCTTATTAATTACTCGGCTTGCGCGTCACGTAGGTTTGATAGTTTTTAAGATCAACAGTTAATTATACACTTTATATACCACAAAATATGTAATACGATTCGATCTATCTGAAAAGCACTCATGGCGTCGAATTTTTGATGTGTCTAAAATATGGGTTGGTACGTTATATTTCATTACACGAGTGAATGAAAGTTTTTTTCCTTCCCAAGTGTCAAATCATTTTGCAATCTAAACCGTTGGTCTCATCCGGGACGCACTTCTAAAATGTGAGTCTAGCGCGCCGCAGACGATCTTGGCCCATTTCCCCGCTTCGGCTTGCACGAGACTCTTCTTCCTTTTTCTTCTGGAATTCAAAACTCGATTCTGCAATCTTCCCCTCCCTCCCTCTCTCTCTCCCCCAAAATTTCAGTGCAGTGAATAAATCTTAATTGATCCTCCATGGAAATGGAAATAGACCCCGATGACCTTTTCAGAGACGACGACGACGACGCAGACAATGAACTCTTCCAGGTTCTTTCTCCCTCTCTTTTTCCCCACTGTTTTTGGTGTATTTCCGGTTGATATCTCTGTTTTCTTTCATTTTTTTTTAAATAATGTAATTTAATTTTGGTAATTCAGGGAAGGGAGTCGACGAAGGATCTTGTGGTGTACTTGGTTGATGCTTCCCCCAAAATGTTTAGCACTACTTGCCCATCCGTGAGTTTCTTCTTGTTTTTCTTCTCTATTTTTTTTTCAAGAAATCTACTTAATTGTTTGCCTAATAAATAGTTATTCATCCATAATTCTTTTTTTTTTAATTTTTTTTTTCAATTTTGCGTATATAATTTCTTATATTCCTGTTAAATTTGCGTAATGGGTACCATAATAATTTTGGTGGAGCTTAATTTTTCGAAGTACTACACTCATGATGCGATACTGTCGAAGAAATTATGTATGGCTTTGGATTCCATTGTGATGGAAGCAAAATGTGATTCAAGCTTCAACAGTACTGATTTCACTGATTTGATGGAGGATTCTTTATTTCGCATGTTGACAGGGGGACGATAAGGACGAAACTCATTTTCATGTTGCTGTGAGTTGTATCGCACAGTCTCTGAAGACACAAATCATTAATCATGCATATGATGAAGTTGCCATATGCTTCTTTAACACTGTAAGATGGAGGCTTGATTAAGCTAAAGGATGTTACATTTGTTTCAAATATTTCTTGTTATTACTTGATGCTTACATTTTTCCGTTCGGTTTCTTTCTAGTATTTTTTTTTGTACATATGTGTGCGTATATATTTTATTTGTTTTCATCCAAGAATATCTTGATGTTGCATGTGTTGCTGCTTAACGATAATGTTTCAAGTTTTTTGGGATACCAGCATAAAGAATAATTTGCCTTTAACTTGGGATGTTATTTATTTTGTTTTGCATCAAGAAACTGTTATATTTTAGAAGAAAGAAAGAGACAACAAGGAGAGAGAATGTAAGAGAAGGGGGATCTTAAAGAAGAGAATAATTTGTGATGTGGTACTTTCCGAGGATATGGAAGGAAAATGTAATGGAAACTAAGACTGGAAAAACATCAGGCACAAAGGAGTGTGCAGTTTTGTGTAGGTATATGGGGCTGCTTTTTATTTTTTTATTTTTTTTAATGTAGAGATTTAGACCTTTTTTTTGCTCACTGTACCCCCCCTTACACCAACTCATTATTTCATGAAATTTATCTTTTGTTCAACATTATCGACCTTAGTACCAAAATGCCTTCATTCCACCTGAAACACAACTTTTACTTTTTGTACTCATATTGTAGTTCTCTGTGGATAATGAGATGTTCCTGCATACTTTGAGTGATCCTATCCTTATGATAACGATACGAGTTATGAAAAGAAAAAGGATATAGTTCCTATTTCTATAAGGGAACATCTAATGATGTTTTTTATTGGATTGTTTTCCGAAAGGACTTCCCGGAGGCTGAACAATATGTATTCTGCTGGATTTGAAATTGTCTTATTTTCTAGAAAGACTTATTCTTAGTCATAGTATGAGTCATTCTCATGTTAAGCTTCTGTGTACATGTGCAGAGGGAAAAATGGAACTTGCAAGATTTAAATGGTGTTTATGTGTTTAACGTTGCTGAACAAGAGTATCTAGACAGGCCAACAGCAAGGCTAATTAAAGAAATTGATAGCGTAGAAGGTATTTCCTCAGTGAAACGATATTCTTTAGTTAGAGTCAATTCCAAATGTTATAATTTAACTAACAGTGTCCACTTTGAAATTTTACTTTTTTGTTTTTTTTCAGTTTTATTTTAAAATCAAGATATTGTAGCTTCACTAACACTAACAAAAAATTTCAGGCAGAAGTTTAGTAGAAGTGTATAAAGTCAGGTAGCAATTTTTTGTGCCTTTTGTGTGGGTAACTGAAGAGGGGTGTTCTATGTGGGTGTGTCTGTGAGGCTATATTTTATGTAAATCTACCCAAAAATATACTGATGAAGTATTTATAGAAAATCATATTTTATCTTGTAAAGTTGTCACTTCGTTTATATGCTTTCTGGAGCTCTTAGTAGTTTGTAATGTAATTTAGCCTACTTATCTTTTCACTCTTCTTTTCCAAGACATAGCTTGTAAACTAATCATTTTAAAGGATGTTTAAAATGAAATCCTTTGCATATTGTGTTAAGTATGCTTTATTTATGTTGAACCTCTTAGATTATGGTAATATCCTACAACAAAAGGGCCATGTTGATGTCTTAGCTGGATTTAATATCTAACTCTCAGGTGATATAGCTCTGTTAGCTTTAAGCTCTTATGTTTGACATATATGTTATGATCTTCAGAAATTGCTTGTCTTACCTATGAAATTTATAACATTAAATAGCTTCCGGTTATGGATGTAAACTTAAGACAACACATGTTGCTTTTGTGTGTGAGCTGAATTCTTCCTTTTGATTAAACGCCTCTTTGGACTGTTGAAGTCAACTGTTTCCTCCTTTGTTTTTAATTGCAGAATCATTTATGAGCAAAATCGGGAGTCAGTATGGTATTGTCTCTGGGTCCCGAGAAAATTCTCTTTACAATGCCCTCTGGGTGGCCCAAGCACTGTTGCGTAAAGGGTAACTGTAAAGTGTTATCAAAGTTTGGCATTCTCTAAAAAGGGGAAAAGTGTTACTGCATTTCATTCTCCTTTTGAATCATTTTCTGTCCTATTTTTATGCTGGTAGAATTAAACTGCCTCTGTGGACTCTTTACTAGCAAACTACTTTCTCAGATCTTCGAAGACAGCCGAAAAGCGCGTTCTTTTATTTACAAATGAAGACAATCCATTTGGCAACATTACGGGAGTGATAAAGACAGATATGATGAGGACCACATTGCAGCGGGCTAGAGTATTGATTTGCACTTCTTTGTAGTTCAATGGTATATTGAAAATTCGCTGTAATAAGAAGTCCACCCTTTACCCATTTCTTCCAGGATGCACAAGATCTTGGCATCTCAATTGAACTTCTTCCATTGAGTCGACCTGACAGTGATTTCAATGTTTCTACTTTCTACTCTGTATGACAATACCCTTTATTCTCATTATTTTTATTTATTGTATGCTTCTTGGATTGTTACATTCATCGCACTACTTGCTTCTCTACTTTTATGTGTTTCAGGATTTACTTGGACTCAAAAGTGATGATCTTGCTCGATTTATGCCCGCAGCAGGAAAAAAGTAACCTTCTCTTTTCAGTATTAATTATCGGTTGCAGAGTCATTTTTATTTTTAGTATGTTCAATTTGTGCAAACAATTGCTCCCTTTGTTCTTTTATATATTATTTCTTTTGTGCATTTGTAAGGAGGCATGTAACATTGGAATTTGGGGCAACCAGTTGTTTCCTTACAGACTTGTCATAGCTAAAAATCTCAGCCTATTGATCTTCCACATCTTTAGAAGATTATTGCTTGTACAAGTGGAGTGAATATTGGAACATGATGATATAAAAATAAGACCGTCCATGATATGAGGGAAACCATGCATTGAGTTAAATACATAAGCTTTAAATCAAGTATTTCTTAAAAGACAAATATGAAATAATACATGAATAATGTACGATCTTCCTGTTCAAGAATCTGGTAGCCCTCTGGTATGTGGACGATAAGCATCCAACATGGGTGCAGCTGCTGTGGTTTTTCTTTCACATGTACGGGGTGATTGATATGGTCTCAAAAGATTGATATGTCCTCCTAGCTCTCCTCAATAGAGTAGTAGGTCCTTAATGCAGACTTGAGATGTTATGATTTGATTATCACAAAAAGTTAAAGGAAATGTTTGGAAATCTAAGTAATTTTGAGATTGGGATTGGTGAAATACTTTTAGAGGAGGCTTAGAGTTCAAGGTGAGGTGGAATATGGTTTATCTTATTTCATACGGAGAGCATACCTAGACTTATATTTACTGAAAAGTATCCACCAATTATTATGTTACTGGACCACATCTGACTTATTAAAAAAACCAGTATGATTTCGGAGGAGAAGTTAAAAAGGTCGTCCCACATATAACAATCTACCCAACTGCAACATGTGCGAGGAAAAGGGCGTGCCTAGACAAAGTTGCCATTTGTTTTCCCCACAATTTTTATGTTACTAAAAGATATAATGACTTGGTACACTGTTCCAGAAAAAAAGAAATACAATTAGAAATACAGACGTGGTAAACTGGATTTTCTATTAGCTAGCTACCACAGCTTTAATATAACATAATATAAATCTTATGTTTACGAATTCATATGTTTTATAAATGTTCAAATAATCTTTCAGTGTAAATATATGAAGTTTGATGCTTATGTGTGCTCTACTTATGTAGAGAATACTCTTGTCCTTGCATAGCGTTGCCATCCAAAATAGTGAGAGGGATACCCTTTCTCTACGTCATTCACTAATTTTGTCCCTTATAAGTTGTATATACCTGCTGAAGGTATTATAGTGTTGATGCCTAAACTTTCTCAGGCATTAGCTAGCATCAGACCCTTGTTATCTTGAATTTAAATTCTATGGTTTATGTGGCATTTTTTTGTATTAAGAGGCAATGATTAAACTGATGCAATTATCTATTAGGTTGTGTCCTATGGCAACAAATCTGAAATACTTATTCTGCTCTTAGTCTTTAATGCACAATAATTAATTCTCGCTCTTTTCCTAGTTTACCTATTTTATTTTGTAACTATCCACTCTAAATTCAGATTGGAAGATATGAAGGATCAGCTTAGAAAGAAAATGTTCAAGAAGCGCCTAGTTAGAAAAATCACTTTCTCAATTGCCAATGGATTATCAATTCAACTGAATTCATATGCTTTAATTCGGCCCACTCTTCCAGGTATTTGTATAGCCATTTATCCAATTACTTGTGGTGTCACTACAAGTCATCTTCTGCCTATCAGTTTGGGCTGAGAACTTTGTTTCATTGCCTTTTGATAATAGGAGCGATAACCTGGCTTGATTCTGTGACTAATCGTCCTCTGAAGGTGATACTGCATTACTACTCTACATATCCCTGTCTAATTATTGTTTCTGATATATTGGTTACTGAAGCCATTCAAACGAGATCTTGATCAGTTTCTGTGTGTGTATTGTGCAGGCTGAAAGATCTTTCATCTGTGCTGATACTGGGGCATTGGTGCAAGAATCTGCTAAACGTTTTCAACCTTACAAGAGGTAAGCATGTTGTGCTGCTTTTTATGCCTTAGTTGTTCCTAGCTTCTTTTTATTTTTTTCCTGGAATAGTTGGGATAGTTGTAGCCCAATCCAGCTTAACCTTAACCTAGTGAAGCAACATTGGGAAGTTTATTTTTATTTTGTAGTCAGACTTTTTTCTTCCTTGATCTCTCTCTCCCCAATTTTATTTATTTCGTTATTTATTTTTGTTTGCTTCTTCTTGTTTATTTAGTTATTTTCATATTACTTACACCAAGTTGACGTCACCCTAATCATCATTCAAATTGGCAAGTGACTTTTTAAACTTTCATTTCTACTTCGTTATTCTTCTTGTACCATGGTTTTAGTCATACAAAGTTCCATGTTGCGTGGGACAAAGATGTGATTGTCATGAATGAGATACATAATTGGGCATGGGAACTAGCTGCAGATTCTTTAGGCAGCTGCCTCTATACCGGGTTCAGTAGTGTCATTATGACATCATCTTATCGGTCTTAAGATTTCACTTCTATGTTTAGATAGTGTACTGTTAGTTGGCTTCTTGAGAATTTTGTCTGATTGTTTTATTTACTTTGTAGTGAAAATATAAAGTTTTCGGTGGAGGAGCTTTCGGAGATAAAAAGATTTTCAGCTGGACATCTTCGTCTTCTTGGTTTCAAGCCATTAAATTGCTTAAAAGAGTTTCACAACTTGAGGCCGTCAACATTTGTTTTTCCTACTGATGAGGTTGCTTCTTTAATCCTTCTGTAGAACTGAAAATCTTATTTCTCTGCGGCCATCTTTTTGTTATTTTTAAGCTTTAGCATAGACTATATTTTTCATAGTTTATCACACTAGTTATATTTTGAACATTTAGGCGATCGCTTTTCATTTTTAATCTGCTTTTGGGATTAATTTAACTGCTCTCTCTCTCGCTATGATAGCACTAAGTATAAACGAAAGATCCTAGATCCGTTATTGTTAAGGCTTACATGAGATGAATATGTATCTATTTTAATAATGAATGAATACTATTTATATATTGTTAAAATATTTTGTAAATGTGGAGCTAGGATAGATCTCAACTGTTTAAATTCATCAGTGTATATCCTTCACTTGTTTATCTACAAATGATTTATGACTTCTAGGATTTATTGATTGTGCGTATAACACGATTAGAGTTACAGATGAGTTATATATGCAGAATGGGGAGGGAATGGGAGATTATATAATGGGTTTAAGGTTCAACAATCAGGCCCTTTTTTTCCATTCTGGTTTTTAACTTTTAGTAGCATCTGTTTTGGGGCCTTGGGATTCTAGAACGTGTAGATTGTTCCTGTACGTTGTTGGTCACTCAGTGTTTCCATCTCCATTCCCCTACGTTTTGGTCATTACTTGAAAATGATATTTTTGCATACCTTCCAAATTTTTGCATACCTTCCAAGTGAGGTGCATCAAGGATGAGGATGGAAAGGTTCTTGCTACAGAGAATGCGATCAAAGACAGATGGAGAGGTTATTTTCATAATCTTTTCAATGAAGGACATGAAAGGAGTACTTCTTTAGGGGAGTTGAGTAACTCAGAAGAGTGTAGAAACTACTCCTTTTATCGTCGAATCAGGAAGGAAGAAGTGGTTGTAGCTTTGAAGAAGATGAAGCATAGAAAAGCAGTGGGCCCAGACGATATACCGATCGAAGTGTGGAAAGTCTTGGGAGAGACAGGTATAGCATGGCTCACTGACCTTTTCAATAGGATTTTGAAAACGAAGAAGATGCCAAATGAGTGGCGAAAGAGCACTTTGGTGCCTATCTACAAGAATAAGGGCGACGTACAAAATTGCATGAACTATAGGGGTATTAAGCTAATGAGTCATACAATGAAGCTCTGGGAGAGTCATTGAGCATAGATTGAGGCAAGAGACACGGGTTTCGGACAACCAATTCGGGTTCATGCCAGGGCGCTCAACCATGGAGGCAATCTATCTCTTACGAAGATTGATGGAAAGATATAGAGATGGGAAAAAGGATTTACACATGGTCTTTATAGATTTGGAAAAAGCGTATGATAGGGTCCCAAGAGACATTCTTTGGAGGATTTTAGAGAAGAAAGGAGTACGAGTAGCATATATCCAAGCTATAAAGGATATGTATGAAGGAGCAAAGACTGCCGTAAGAACTCATGAAGGACAAACCGAAAGCTTCCCCATAACTGTAGGATTACATCAAGGCTCATCCTTAAGTCCTTACCTTTTTGCGTTGGTAATGGATGAGTTAACAGGACATATTCAAGATGATATTCCTTGGTGTATGCTTTTCGCAGACGATATAGTGTTGATAGATGAAACTCATGAAGGGGTAAATGCGAAGCTTAACCTTTGGAGAGAAGTGTTGGAATCTAAAGGTCTTCGCCTAAGCCGATCAAAGACAGAATATATGGAGTGCAAGTTAAGTGCAAATGGAGGCCAAAATGAGTTAGGGGTGAGGATCGGAGATCAGGAAATACCATAGAGCGATCGTTTTCGCTACTTAGGATCTATCTTGCAAAAGAACGGAGAATTAGATGGAGATCTCAACCATAGAATTCAAGCTGGATGGATGAAGTGGAAGAGTGCATCCGGCGTGTTGTGTGAGCGCTGTATGCCACTGAAGCTCAAGAGAAAATTTTATAGGACGGCAATAAGGTCGGCGATGCTGTATGGCACAGAATGTTGGGCAGTGAAGCATCAACATGTACACAAAATTGGTGTAGCGGAGATGAGGATGCTTCGTTGGATGTGTGGGCACACGAGAAAGGATAAGATTAAGAATAAGGATATCCGAGGTAAAGTAAGAGTAGCCGAAATTGTAGGAAAATTGAGAGAATCGGTTATGGTGGTTTGGACATGTGCAAAGAAGGCCTACTGACGCTCCGGTTAGAAGATGCGACTACGGGACAGAGGTTCAGGGCCGAAGGGGTAGAGGAAGACCTAAGAAAACTTTGGAAGAGACTCTAAGAAAAGACTTAGAGTATTTGGATCTAACGGAGGACATGACACAGGACCGAGCACAATGGCGTTCTAAGATTCATATAGCCGACCCCACTCAGTGAAGAAGGCTTTGGTGTATTTAACACAATACGTTGAAATGAAGCAAAGCTTATTTATTGATATCTCCGATAAGTTACAAATATGTACATATACATGACTCAAAATAAACAAACAAGAGGGAGCCTTCACAAAGGTTGCTTAGGAGAAGTCTCAGCAGTCGGTAGAGCCCCAGAAAGAGAAGGCACCGGAGGGGGATCATTCGGAGCCTCAGTACTGGACAGAACCCTAGAAGGAGGAGACATCAGAGGTTGATCATTTGGAGCTTCATTACGCGGTACAGCCCCAGAAGACGAAGGCAATAAATGCCTTTGGAACAAACCCACAAACCGTTGATGATCAAGTAAAACCTGACCATCAGATTCCTTCATCTGGTCAAGCTTTCTCTTCATGTTTGTAGCATAGTCATGTGCGAGCCGGTGCAACTGTTTATTCTCATGCTTGAGCCCTGTAATCTCCTGTTTGAGACTCATCACTTCAGTCGCCAATGATTCAACTTGGCGGGTTCGAGCAAATAGGCGTTGGGCCATATTAGACACAAAACCTGCACATTGAACACTGAAGAGCCAGAGAATCCTTAACAGCCAACTCATCAGACCGTTTGGAAAGTAGTCTGTTATCTTTGGGAGTGAGAAGGTTCCTGGCCACCACCGCAGCAGTCATATCATTCTTCATCACGGAATCCCCAACGGTAAGAGGACCAGTAGGGGATAAGAAGGATGGACGCCATATGTTGTCTGGAGAAGGCGTGGCTGCCTCTTCAACAAGGTTCAAGTCAAAACGACGGTCGGAGGGGCCAGACATTTTCAAAGGTGTTGAAGAAAGAAAAGGTCGGACAAATCAAGATCTTAGAAGTGCAAGAAGGGAGCTTCTACTGGTGAAGATTCAAGGGTGCTTTGGAACTTAATGCCAGCCTCTATAAAAATCTGCACTCGACGGAGCTTCAGAAATCGAAGAGGCGCCTGCCCAGAAATCGAAGAGGCGTTTGCTTTCTCAAAAGCTGGGCTGTTCAGAGACCACGAGGGCCGATCTCAGAAATTGAAGAGGCGTTTGCTTTCTCAAAAGCTGGGCTGCTCAAAGACCATGAAGGCTGATCTCAGAAATCGAAGAGGCGCTTGCTTTCTCAAAAGCTAGGCTGCTCAGAGACCACGAGGGCCGATCTCAGAAATCGAAGAGGCACCTGCTTTTCTCAGCCTTGTTAGCACCTGTCACATGCACACTCAGCTTTGCTGAAATTACGGGCATTTTGTTGAAGATTTCTGGTGAAGTAGAAAGCACGTGAATCTTACTGTTCAATCATCCACTTTCCACACGCACCATCAGCTCATGGGTACCATAGATAACTTTGCCAAAGATCTCTGACAAAGTTTAGACACGTGAAGCTTGCAATTCCCACTACATCGCTATAATCAAGAAGGGTAAAAGAATAGCAAAGAAACAGCACTAACAAAGTTTAGACACATAAATTTTGAAGGTCTAGCTACCATATTATTACCCATAAGGGTAAAGGAACAGCCCCACTGCTGGATAATTGGAAAGTCCCTATGTGGCAACCTCTGTGCTCCGTGGCAAGGTAGACTAGCAAACATGCCCAACCTTTACTCACATTCGAGAAAACACTTCCAACAAGATTGTTTGCTCCAAAATCAAAGAGGCACCGTCCTTCGAATCTCGAGAGCCAGACTCCCAACATGATTACTTTCTTAAAAATCGAAGAGACACCGCTCTCCGAATCTCGAGAGCCAGACTCCCAGCAGGATTGCTCTCTCAAAAATCGAAGAGGCACCGTTCTCCGAATCTCGAGAGTCAGATCCCCGACAGGATTGCTTGTTCGAAAACCGAAGAGGCACCGCTTTCTCAACTTCGAGAGCCAGATCTCCTTGGATAAAGCTTGTCTGTAATCTTCACACGCAACATCAGCTTTCCAGATACCACAGACCATTTTTTCAAAGTGCTCTGACACACGTGAAGCTGGCAGCTCCCACTACCGTGCTATGACCAAGCAGGGTAAAGGAATAACATTACTACTTGTTGTTAGGGAAACTCCTATATATGTTGACCTCCATCCTCAACGGACAGGCAGACCTGCAAAAATGCTCTAACCCTTCCTCATATCTGAGAGGGCACTCCCAACGAAGCCTCTCGAAATACTCAGCTTTCTTTCTCCCCGATAATCCCTTTGCAAACAAGCTACACCAGAGCAAGAATATCTCATATCATCAGGGTTAAAAGCAAGAGTATCCCATATCATGCTTTTTCCCTGTCTTTTCCTTTGGCCTTGTTCTTACCTGCAAGACAAGGAGAAAGAGAGCAATCAATCAGCACTTGGAATCAAGCTTCTAGTCAGGAACTGACTGCCTGGAATCCCTTACCTGATTACTTACCTAGCATTGCTCTCGAGTACTCATCTTCAACATCTTATGCCTCTAGAGAAGATACTACATCTGCCTGAGGAACAGATAGGGAAAGTGAGAAGGATACAAGGAAGCATGTGGAGACAAGCGTAACAGAACACGTGCCGATACATCCACTACTTTGTCAACAACAAAAGTATCCCATATCAGCAGGGTCGAACGTACTCTAGATTTGATGGACTTGTTTTGACCCTCAAATTCTTCAGTCGGCCTTATACTCTGGAGGAAACCAGAAAATCCTCCAGCCCAGTTCAAGAATAAGCTTGTGGAAAGTTACTTCTTCAAAAGCAAAAGTATTTCATATCATCTATTCTCCTTTTCTTCTCTTTATCCTTCATGCTGCTTGCAAGATAGGGAGAATGAGAACAATCAGCCGGAACTCGAAATCAAACTTCTGATCTGGGACTGATTGCTTGGAGCTTTGATTGCTTACCTTGTCTGTTGCCTCTTTCAGCAGATCCCCTAGCTCGGCGACTTGGGGGACTCCTACTACATGGTTTGTATCACGCCTGACCAAGCCTGAAACTATAAGTAAGCTTCAAGTGAAATTGATACATTACCTTGTGCATCTCCACCAGTTAAAGATACCACCCCTGGATGGAGGAAGAGTACTTCCAGAGAAGATGCCACATCTACCTATGAGACAGACAAGGCAAGTGAAGACGAGAGCTTGAACCTATGTCATTTGTACTAAATCATTCACTTGTACTCACTAAAGGAGAGCTTGAACCTATGTACTTGTGTAAGCCCTTCACAATTAATGAGAACTCCTCTACTCCGTGGACGTAGCCAATCTGGGTGAACCACGTACTTCTTGTGTTTGCTTTCCTGTCTCTATCCATTTACATACTTATCCACACTAATGACCAGAGCAATCTAGCGAAGATCACAAACTTAATACTTTCTGTTGTACCAAAGTCCTCACTGATTTTGTGCATCAACAATCCATAAGTCCTTACCTTTTTGCGTTGGTAATGGATGAGTTAACAGGACATATTCAAGATGATATTCCTTGGTGTATGCTTTTCGCAGACGATATAGTGTTGATAGATGAAACTCAGGAGGGGTAAATGCGAAGCTTAACCTTTGGAGAGAAGTGTTGGAATCTAAAGGTCTTCGCCTAAGCCGATCAAAGACAGAATATATGGACTGCAAGTTCAGTACAAATGGAGGCCAAAATGAGTTAGGGGTGAGGATCGAAGATCAGGAAATACCAAAGAGCGACCGTTTTCGCTATCTAGGATCTATCTTGCAAAAGAACGGAGAATTAGATGGAGATCTCAACCATAGAATACAAGCTGGATGGATGAAGTGGAAGAGTGCATCCGGCGTGTTGTGTGACCGTTGTAGGCCACTAAAGCTCAAGGGAAAATTTTATAGGACGGCAATAGGGCCGGCGATGCTGTATGGTACAGAATGTTGGGCGGTGAAGCATCAACACGTACACAAAATGGGTTTGGACATGTGCAAAGAAGGCCTACTAACGCTCCGGTTCGAAGATGTGACTACGGGATAGAGGTTCAGGGCCGAAGGGGTAGAGGAAGACCTAGGAAAACTTTGGAAGACCCTAAGAAAAGACTTAGAGTACTTGGATCTAACGGAGGACATGACACAAAACTGAGCGCAATGGCGTTCTTGGATTCATATAGTCGACCCCACTTAGTGGGAAAAGGCTTTGTTGTTGTTGTTGTTGTTTTGTATTGGATAACTACTTCGAATTAGGGATTCAGTAGAAACACTACTGTTCTAATGCTGCGCTAATGCAATAAATGAATGATGGTGTTTTTCCCTCTTTATCATTAAGTTGGCTTTATTTGTACAAACTTCTGTCCCCACTTCTGAAGTTACAGAAGTTGAAACAATATACCTGATGTTTTCTGGTTCTTCATTGCAGGAACTGATTGGTAGCACATCTATTTTCATTGCCCTTCATAGATCCATGCTAAGGCTAAACCGGTTAGTGCATATAGTATACAGTTTCCTTGTATTCTTACTTCGTGTTAATAATAAAAAAAACAAATGATTTTTATTAATGATGTTATTATAATTTTCTAATATAAAAATTACACTTAATTGTAAGAACAAAAAAAATTCAAGTTTGGATTGAAGAAAAAGAATAGGCCCTTCCCTAGAAATAGACCTATCCGGTTTGAGGCACGATATGGGTATATCACGAGCACGAGATGGTCCCTGTCTGAGGGAGGTGTCAAGCCTATGGCTTGTGCTACATAAGATGGGTCCTTTTAGAAAAAAAAAAAAACACTATTGGGGGAGGAAATTCACAATTAAGAATCAATTAGACATCACATCAAAGGTGGATGGATGAGGGGTTTTTTTATTTTATTTTATTTTTTTTTTTCTCTCCCTTCAGTTGAGCTCTTGAGGTGTTTTGTATAAAACTTATAGTTGTCGGGGGATTTTTTTTTTCTTTTTCTAATTTACTATTATTATTTTTCAGTTTTGCAGTTGCATTTTATGGGAGTTCATCTCGCCCACAATTGGTTGCTCTTGTTGCCCAAGTAAGATTTTATAAACATTCACTAATAAGTTATGGTTTAATACATAAGATTTCATTACATCCACTAATATATGTGTATGTATGTCTTATGTATTTTCTTTTCGTTGTTTTTATACATGTGACTGAATGAAATGACAAGAAGGGTGTGATTTTGTTTGATTATCTACACTGAGTCACCATCTCAGAAATAGTTCTAGTGCTTACAAATGGTTTTTTAGTGGTTGTTTGTTGTTAAGCAAGGCAAGTGGCTGCTCTAATTTTTTTTCGATTTTATGCTTTGCACAAAGTCCCTTGTGGCATTTGGTGAAAACAAAATATAAGTTGTATAATTGTCATTGGTTAACATTGTGGTCATGTGAGCTCTTCTTAAAAGAAATGCCATTTTAATTGTTGATGTTGGATAACCAAGTTAATTATATACAAATTACAAAATACTAGTAAAGCAAGAATTTGAATTTTTTACTGAGAACAGAAAATGTAGATAAACCAAAATTGAAAATCTAAAGGTCAATTTTTTTTTTTATCCATTGTGGCCTCGTTTGGTACGTCAGACTCTATTGACTATTTGACTTAGATAGACTAATCTGTGAATTGGATAAAAATGACTATATACAAAGTGTATTTTTAATGATGGGAAAGAAGGCTCCAGGTCTCAGTTCTTAGAAAAGTGCTTTCTGAGAGTTCCACCATGATATATATATTTTATGACTCTGCCATAGGCAGAAAAGCGGGTTGAAGGAGATCATGTAATGTATTTGAATGTTGGGAGGGTTTGCTAGGGGTCTTCGTACCTACTATGAATAGAGAAAACTTTCCCCATTCCACTCACTAGCAGCCCAGGTCTTTCTATTCCTAATGTCAAGCGTTTGGTGCTGTACTAGACTAAAGACCAAGTATTTTATAATGCATGGACAAGAGGACTTCCCGATCTATTTTTGCCATAAAGTCCCAAAAATTATACCTTGGATAATACAATTTTATTACCTTCTATAAATAACTTAATATTCTAAAAACCATAAATATACTTAAATAAATAAATTACATTAAAAAAGAAAAATTAGAAAACGAAGGGGTCGATAGAAGGGAGAGAACAGGGAAGGGGGTGGGTAGACGGGAAAGGGTTCGGTAGGAGTTGGCGAATGGACGAGGAGGGGTGGGCTCGTCAGATCAGACCCTCTCGGCGACTATGGGACTGGTCTCGCCAGAGCTAGAGAGCTCGCCGGAGTTGTTGGGGATCGAATCAAGCCTTGAAGCAGTGGCGAGGCTGCCTCTTTGACGAGTCTGAAGGGTGGAAACGGGAGAACTCAGATCGAGTCATCAAAACTTGGTCTGATATGGAATCACGGAATCGATCGGTGAGTGCAGACCTAGATGCTCTGATATGGGCTTCTCGGAATGGGTTCAAAGGATGATGATGGGGTTGGTGCCTGTGTAGAAGACGATGAACCAACAGGCAGCATGAAGAGGATGATGATGCGAGGCGTGGTTCTGGTGTTCTGTGTATTTTTGAGCCCGACTAAATTATACATGGCATTTCGAATGGATTATTAGTAGGCCGTGGAGTGTACCTGGACCTGCTTAACTTATCCGGTGGCTATTTAATAAGAAAGGGCCCTAACCGGATTCGTATAAAATGGTCCTATCCGGTGTCCTATACGGCGTGACAAACAAGGCCTGTATGTTATAGATTTGTAAAAGAGAAATCTGCTTAATGGTGCTTGCTCATTTCAATGGCAAAATACCTATTCAAACTGCTAAATACGTGACTGAATTGAGCTGACATAAAAGTTTTAACAAAAGATGATTAGTGGTTTTCGTACATTGTCGTGAATTTACTGTGTTCAGTTTTTATGATATTAAAGGTCACGAATATCCTTGCTGAAATTTGTCTTACACAAACTCACTTATCTCTTTTGACAAATCACAGGATGAAATAATTAGTGCTGGTGGTCAGGTTGAACCACCGGGAATGCATATGATATATCTTCCGTACTCCGAGGACATTAGAAACACTGAAGAGGCAAGGGATATAATTGAATCTGTAACATAAAGTATTTCTTACGATAGTTATTTAACAAATGTTGTGCTTGTGACAATTTGCAGCTTCATACAGGTTCAAATGATGCACCACCTCATGCAAATGATGATCAAATCAGAAAAGCTGCTGCTTTAATCAAACGTTTTGACTTGAAAGATTTCTCAGTATTCCAATTTGCCAATCCTGGTATGTCATGTTGAAAATCCTTAAATTGAAAGTATATTGTCAGCATTCGATTCATTTTTCTTCATTTTGTTTGTGCTGGTTGCTTATTGTATGCTTAGCCATTAGTCTATCCTTAAGTCAACTAGAGGTCAATGACTAGTATTAATATTGTAAAAGCAGTGTTCTCTGACTGGATTTTTAAACTGAATCCCAGTGCAAGTGGTGTTAGGAGACACAGATGCTCTAGGAATTGAATCAGTTCCAAGAGGTCAACAACCAGTATTAATATTCTTGCTGAGTTGTCTTTTTTCGTTAATATCGTAAATGATTTGATACAAATGTGACTCAAATTACTCACGTCTTGTTTTGGAAAATGGAATATGTCAATGCAACTTAAACTTTAAGAATTCTTGTTGAATGCCTCTTTGGATGCTTTGGGGAAAATACACCCCCAAATACATCGTATTAATGTCTATGTAAGTAAGAAGATACATGTACTAGTGTGTGGTGTTTGGACTTTCAGAAGTTGATATCTTAGTGAGCTCTTGCCCATCTTCTCAAATTGTGGCTGTTGACCGCACCAAAGGCACCAATCCTTTTACTTATGCTGTTATGTGTATTAGTATGTAACAAAGATTCTTTTCAGCCTTGCAGAGACACTATGCAGTACTGCAGGCCCTAGCGCTGGAGGAAGAAGAAATACCAGAAACCCAGGATGAAACAGTGCCTGATGAGGAAGGAATGTCTAGGTAAGGAAAAGTGTACACATGCATTTTTTTCTGCTCGTGTTTCTCTTGCTTTGCAAGAACTGAATAACATTTGCCTTTGCTTATTCCTCCTGCATGAAGTTCCTAACTCGATATCTTTGCGCATGTGGCTTGCAGACCCACATTTGTTAGTGCATTAGAAGAATTTAAGCTGTCTGTCTATGGGGACAATTGTGACGAGGAAAATGCAGTGGGAAATGGAAAAGAAAGTGAGACCTCCAAAAAACGAAAAGCTGTTGCTGACAATGCAGTCAAAGAGTGTGCTAACTATGATTGGGGTGGCCTTGCAGACAACGGAAAGGTGAAACTGAAACTGCTTTGCTATTCTTGAACTCATGTGGTTTTTTTTTTCCCAATAAAAGCAGTAACCTTTTAATAAGCTTTAGGAAGTAAAGGGCTGATAGGATTGGCCGTAGGTTCAAAATCGTTCCCATAAAAGCAGAAAGGAAATTAATTGATTAGCAGAAAATTTTGGTTTGTTTAAGCGGACCAATTATTGTCAGGGAGAATTTGTATGAGACCTCATTGCAGGAAAGGAATAATTCAGTTTTGAGGCTATCTATTTGACAGGTACTGAAGCATTCTTGCACGTGTTTTGTAAAAGGATTCTTCGTAAAGCTTGATTGTGTACAGATCCAGAAGGATTATGAACGATAAAATGAACCCGGCTGTCTAGATTTGGTCATGGGATTGAGAACTAGGCAATTGTTTATGTGAATACCGCCTCCTTCCCGTTAGTGTAAACCCGAACAACCCAAATGCCTCTTTTCCCTCGAAGGGAAAAATATCAGAGAAAAAGTAGAGTGTAATTTTAAGAACCTTGGTCATGGTAGTTTTAGTGTAGTGTAGTTTAATAATTTTGAGGATGCTAATCCCTTGTACTGTGGTCCATGTTGTGCAGTTAAAGGATATGACAGTGACACAGTTGAAGTACTATCTGACGGCAAATAATCTTCCGCTTGCTGGGAAGAAGGAAGCTTTGATTAGTCGAATTTTGACACACTTGGGGAAATGACCAAGGCTAGCTATATAACTTGTTTGCGAGATGGAATGCTGTGCGGCTACCGTTGCGATGCGTGGAATGTTTTGATGGGGTTTATGTACCACCCACTAGGGACCCTAGATGCATCAAAATAACCTGCTGTTTTGCAAAGCTCAAGGCTCAATTTTCTGGTGTAGAAGACAATCTACTCAATGTAGGATTACAATTGTATTTTATGATCAGATGTCAACTTTTCCTGCTTTTCGACTAATTTATTGGAGTGCTGGCAAAACGTGGTTAACTAATATTTAGGCGTCCTTTGGTATATGAGATGCGTTGCTCCAGAAGAAAACATCCATTCTAATCCTCCCCAAAATGGTCGGTTTAGTGATTAAAGAGAATGCGGCGTCGAGATTTGTTATTAGGAATGATGTGGGAACGCTCTCATTGCTGGAGCCAGAAACTTAGTGATTGATGCTTTGCAAAAGGATTATAGAGAGATTTTGGTTGAAGGGACTCCAAGTTAGTGATTGATGCTACTTTGGGAAAGCGCGATGCCCCTTGGAGGTTAAAGTGACCTTGACTTCCACTCCTCCGAAGTGACTTACTACTCTTGAATCATCCCCCCTCCTCACACAATTGTACCCGCTCATGAGTCCATGGATATCCAAGGTGCGTACTATATCGCATTTTCTAATCCTAACGTTGTTGATCGTGCTTATCAGTTGTCTCCAAGACAATTGCGGGAAACTTGTTGGAAATGTGCCTTAAAGCCAATCATGAAATGAAACTTTATAGACGTTTCACATATTAAATTAATCTAGTTTAGTGTAAGGTAAAAATTATTGTTTAAAGCCGTCTCATTTAATGTTATACGCTTAAACAATACGTTCAAGGAATATGTAACTAAGAGAATGTAATCTAAAGAAATTAGGTTCACGAGACCTCTCTTTCATACACATATCCTAAACATTCCTGATTATAGGATTGTTAATTGGGCATTGACAATCCAGATAGATCAGCACATATTATGTCTTTTTCCGTGGAGAGTGATCTCGAGTCATTGGTGTGAATGACACAACACAAACAACTACACACCGTGTAAAGCAATGGTTAAAGGATATAACGGATTTGAGTAAAGACAATTAAATAGTTAAGTGTTTATGGCTAGGATGAATTAATGTGTTCATTAATGAAACCAATAAGTTAGTTATAGACCTTGGGTTAGTTTTGGGCCTCATGGCCCAAATGGGCATATTCAAGTCCATTAGCTTAAGTTGTGTGACAACGTAAACACAAAAGAGAACAAGGCCCCCTAACAAGCTTTGCCCAGCCTAAAGAGAGGGAGGGCCTTTTGGTCCAAGTTGCTCACAAAAGTTGGTGCGTATAAAGAGGTATTATAGCCTCATCCCTCATGAATGTTTCTAAGAGGAAATGAGAGAAAAACACAATCTCTTTCTCTCTAGGAGGTTGGCCACATGGGAAAAGATTGCTAGCATTTTTTTCCTTCCATGTCACTCATCCTCTTCCTCAATAATCATTGGTGTTGAAATTTAGAGACCTCCGACTTCGGTGGCTTTTGGAGAATCCATTCAAGCATCCAAATACAAGAATCCAAAGATCAAAGTGATGAAGATGAAGGCTATGGAGTCCCCTACTTCTATTAAAGAGACAATACAAATGATTGTACAAATATATGGTAAGTGTAGCATTACTCATCTTTCTTTTCTTCTTTTGGTCCACCTTTTTTTGAAGTCGATATCCATAATTAATAGAGGTGATGCTAATAAAGGATGGTCAAGGTTTTAATTTCGTGTTTCTTCTTTTGCTCATATTTCTGGTTGTAAAGACCAACATGACAACAAGAGAATCTTTCATGCATGAATTAAATTTAGGGTTAATCTCAGTTTACTACCCTAAAGTTTATTAGTTTTTAACATTTGGTACATGAAGTGTTTTTCATTCCAGATAAGTCATAATTGTGGGACACTTTCATACGTCCGTTAAGTTTTTCGTTAGAACCTTCATTACTGGTGACGTGGCTAGTGACGGATCCAGAATTTTAAACTCGGGGGGTCCCGATAATAAAGGTAAAAAAATTTATAGATAAAAATAACATTTAAAAGTGAAATTATAATACATTTCATTCATGAATCATACGCAAACAAAATTACAAGCTATAAAATTTTAATTCAAGCGTCTACGACGATGTTTCATAGTCTGAAAATGTTCCATTTGCAAATATGCTCTTTGGCTTGAAAAACCTTTCCATATTTCTTATCTCTACACTACACATTAACAAAAAACATACCAGTTAATCAATAAACAAAATTCCGGTAATTAAATGAGTATACAAACATAAAACGTATTTATAATAATATCAATAATATATTATAAATCTCCATCAATAAATAATAGTTGAGATTAGATTAGAATACTAAAAAATCTTATTTGAATCTTGAACCAAATGGTGGTGGTGTGGATATTTGAAACAAATTGAGATATTATGTGACAGCCCGTCCCAAATTTTACGTTTTTATTAATTTTAGAAGCATGAATTTACAAAAATGCCCTAGAGGTAAGGACTTTGACTTTTGTTGATCATCAGTTAGAGTGGCGTATGACTTATTATTTTAGCATATCCTCGTAGTACTTGTCACTACGAACGTGTGGGCGCAGACGGTTCGTGATTTCGAGCTATATCGCATAAGATATTGATGTTTAAAGTTTGGGACATTTTAGTAATTTAATTATTTGTGGTCGAATTTCAGTTTTGGAAAGGGGAATTAAAGGTTGGACGCTACCCAGTTAGAGAAGGGGGGAGAGATGAACTGCCCAATCAGAATTAAAAGAAAGAAGAAGGGGGATTGGCTGCCCAACCGAGGAAAGAGGAGATGGACCAATCGGAACAGTGAGAGAAGTGAAGGACCAATCAGAATCCTAGGAAAGGAGGGAACAGAGAGGAAAAGAGGAAGGGATCGGCCGGATCCCCTTGACCCGTAACCTGTTTTCGACCCTGTCGGCAAACACCTCACTTTTCGACGATTCTCACTCATTTTGCTGGCGAATTGCTGCAAGAAACTACTTGGGAACTCCTCAAAGACCTTCCCTCTATCCATTCCATCTCAAATTTGGAGATATTTGACCTTGAAAATGGAGGAACACGCAAGAGGGGTGCGGCGGCTTTGGCTTCGAATCACCCAATTCCGAAGTAATTTCTTTCAATTGCCACCACCCCTGGCATCCTATTGAGGCCTAGAACAAAGCCCAAGCAATGGTTGGGACGGCGGAGTTGTTTTGGAGTCGGATCGATCACACTCAAAACAAGGGTTTCACGGTTTTGGAGGATTTGAGGCTTTTCTCGGCCGAATTGGCCTTGGTCACAGGTATGAAAGTTGTTCCTTTCATTGAGATCTTCATTTATGCAAAATTTGAGAATTTTTGGAAATAATTGGATTTTCTGGCAAGTCGGGACGGTTGACCGCCACCCACAGTGGCGCAGGCGGCGGCGCGTAGCCAGTGGGCCGTCAATGTTATTTTTAGGCTATGTTGATATCCTGAATTCAGTTTTGATAGTGGTTTGACGTAGGTTGATCATTGAGCCAGATTCTTTACGATTCGTGGTTAGGTAAAAATGTGAATCGGCGATCCAGCCGTTGGATCGTCACCAAACTTTAATGCATTATAGTACGTAATATTTGAGGACCATTGAAATTTACAGATTGGGAATCCAACGTACGAATTTGTAAGTTTATAAAATAAATGTTAACCGCCATTTGGTTTTGGGCAATTGGCAGAGATCCGACTGTTGGATCGTTTCGAAACTTTAGTATGTTATTCTAGAAGCATAATGTTGATCCTTGGAAGTTACAGATCAAAGATCTGATTTGTAGATCTTCTGGACTGAATTGCGTAATCTTATGTGTGATGTAAGTTATGTATTGTATCAATGAGAATTCTGAGATATGGTTTGATAATTGGTCACAGGCACCGATCGTTTGTGACGCCTCGATGTTCATGCTAGGAAATTGTAGTGCGGACTCTAGGTGAGTGGATCTTTCCTTGCTCATCTCATGTTTCATGATTGATAATTCTATAAATGCTTTTAAATAAAACTGAGAAACTTATGCCATGACATATATATATATATATATATATGTTATAAAATACTATGAGATGGTTGAGTTAGATTTCATCGTGATCTATCCATATGCGTATTACTATAAATGATTATCGTGAACTATGAATGACTTGATCCCTGTTTAGGGTACGTAGGCAGTCTAACGAGACGTTAGATGCAGCCATATAAGAAATGAGATTAAATAATCGAGACCATAGCCTTGTTTAAGGAATTGAGCAATGTGTGTGGGCTTTTGGTTTTTAGTATATATTTATATACTTGATATTAACCCAGAAATATGTTTAAATGAGATTATGTCTTGAATGCCATGCATATAAGTTATAATTCGTATATGAATTGGTATATGATGCATTATATATAATTGTGTTGCTGTGTGCACTCTGAAGTGCAAAGGTGAACGTAGGACATTCAGGTAAGTTTAAGTAAATTCAAGTAAGTATACGGTATTAGTTAACCGATGAGATATGTGATGAAATATGAATATGGCGTATAGGTCACTAGAGGTGACTCCGACTTATATGTTAGCCATGACTGGTGAGATATGTGATGAGATATGAATATGTCGTATAGGTCACTAGAGGTGACTCCGACTTACATGCTAGCCGTGATTGATGAGATGTGATGAGATATGGATATGTCGTATAGGTCACTAGAAGTGACTCCGACTTATATGCTAGCCATGATTGATGAAGTATATGAATATGTCGTATAGGTCACTAGAGGTGACTCCGACTTATATGCTAGCCATGACTGATGAGATATATGATGAGATATGAATATGTCATATAGGTCACTAAAGGTGACTCCGACTTATATGCTAGCCATGATTGATGAGATACGTGATGAATTATGAATATGTCGTATAGGTCACTAGAGGTGACTCCGACTTATATGCTAGCCATGACTGATGAGATATATGATGAGATTGAATATGTCGTATAGGTCACTAGAGGTGACTCCGACTTATATGCTAGCCATGATTGATGAGATATGTGATGAATTATGAATATGTCGTATAGGTCTCCGACTTATATGTTAGCCATGATTGATGAGATATGTGACGAGATATGAATATGTCGTACAGGTCACTAGAGGTGACTCCGACTTAAATGCTAGCCGTGATTGATGAGATATGTGATGAGATATGAATATGTCATATAGGTCACTAGAGGTGACTCCCACTT